CAATCAAAGAGGAAAACAAACAATGTTTAGTAACAGAAATAAACAAATATGGCTGGAAGAACAACCCATATCTCAATAATAACCCTAAATGTTAATGGCTTAAACTCACCAATTAAGAGACACAGGCTAGTAGAATGGATCACAAAACAAGACCCAACAATATGCTGCCTACAGGAGACGCATTTGATAGGAAAAGACATACATAGGCTGAAGGTGAAAGGTTGGGAAAAATCATATCACTCATATGGACTTCGGAAACAAGCAGGCGTGTCCATACTCATATCAAATAAAATAGATTTCAAGCCAAAGTTAATCAAAAGAGATAAAGAGGGACACTACATACTGCTTAAGGGAACCATACACCAACAAGACATAACAATCATAAATATTTATGCCCCAAACAATGGTGCAGCTATGTTCGTCAAACAAACTCTTCTCAAGTTCAAGAGTCTAATAGACCACCACACCATAATCATGGGAGACTTCAACACACCTCTCTCGCCACTGGACAGATCTTCCAAACAAAAGTTGAATAAGGAAACTATAGAACTCAATAACACTATTAATAACCTAGACCTAATTGACATATATAGAGTATACCACCCAACATCAAGCAGTTACACTTTTTTCTCAGCAGCACATGGATCCTTCTCAAAAATAGATCATATATTATGTCACAGGGCAACTCTTAGACAATATAAAGGAGTAGAGATATTACCATGCATCTTATCTGATCATAATGGAATGAAACTGAAAATCAACGATAAAAGAAGGAAGGAAAAAGCATACATCAATTGGAGAATGAACAATAGGTTACTGAATGATCAATGGGTTATAGAAGACATCAAGGAGGAAATTAAAAAATTCTTAGAGATAAATGAAAACACAGACACAACATATCGGAATCTATGGGACACATTGAAAGCAGTTCTAAGAGGAAAATTCATTGCTTGGAGTTCATTCCTTAAAAAAAGAAAAAACCAACAAATAAATGATCTCATACTTCATCTCAAAATCCTTGAAAAAGAAGAGCAAAACAACAGCAAAAGAAGTAGAAGGCAAGAAATAATGAAAATCAGAGCTGAAATTAATGAAATCGAAACAAAAGAAACAATTGAAAAAATTGACAAAACTAAAAGTTGGTTCTTTGAAAAAATAAACAAAATCGACAGACCCTTAGCGATGCTAGTGAAGAGAAGAAGAGAGAGAACTCAAATTACTAGCATACGGGATGAAAAAGGCAATATCACAACAGACACTTCAGAAATACAGAAGATAATCAAAAACTATTTTGAATCCTTATACTCCAATAAATTAGAAGATAGTGAAGGCATAGATAAATTTCTTAAGTCATATGATCTGCCCAGATTGAGTCAGGAGGATATAGAAAACCTAAACAGACCAATATCAATTGAGGAGATAGAAGAAACCATCAAAAGACTACCAACTAAGAAAAGCCCAGGTCCCGATGGGTATACAGCAGAATTTTACAAAACCTTTAAAGAAGAACTAATACCAATACTTTTCAAGCTACTTCAGGAAATAGAAAAGGAGGGAGAACTTCCAAATTCATTCTATGAGGCCAACATCACCCTGATACCTAAACCAGACAAAGACACTTCAAAGAAAGAAAACTACAGACCAATATCTCTAATGAACCTAGATGCAAAAATCCTCAATAAAATTCTGGCGAATCGGATACAAAAACATATCAAAAAAATTGTACACCATGATCAAGTAGGATTCATCCCTGGGATGCAAGGCTGGTTCAATATACGGAAATCAATAAATGTTATTCACCACATCAATAGACTTAAAAATAAGAACCATATGATCATCTCGATAGATGCGGAAAAAGCATTTGACAAAGTACAGCATCCCTTTATGTTCAAAACTCTAGAAAAACTAGGGATAACAGGAACATACCTCAATATTGTAAAAGCAATCTATGCTAAGCCTCAGGCTAGCATTATTCTGAATGGAGAAAAACTGAAGGCATTCCCTCTAAAATCTGGAACAAGACAGGGATGCCCTCTCTCTCCACTTCTCTTCAACATAGTTCTCGAAACACTGGCCAGAGCAATTAGACAGACGAAAGAAATTAAAGGCATAAAAATAGGAAAAGAAGAACTTAAATTATCACTATTTGCAGATGATATGATTCTATATCTAGCAGACCCAAAAGGCTCTACAAAGAAACTATTAGAGCTAATAAATGAATTCAGCAAAGTGGCAGGATTTAAAATCAACATGCATAAATAAAAGGCATTCCTGTATATCAGCGACAAATCCTCTGAAATGGAAATGAGGACAACCACTCCATTCAAAATATCTTCAAAAAAAATAAAATACTTGGGAATCAACCTAACAAAAGAGGTGAAAGACTTATACAATGAAAACTACAGAACCCTAAAGAGAGAAATAGAAGAAGATCTTAGAAGATGGAAAAATATACCCTGTTCATGGATAGGCAGAACTAACATCATCAAAATGGCGATATTACCAAAAGTTCTCTATAGGTTTAATGCAATGCCAATCAAAATCCCAATGGCATTTCTTGTAGAAATAGAGAAAGCAATCATGAAATTCATATGGAAAAATAAAAGACCCAGAATAGCAAAAACAATGCTAAGCAAGAAGTGTGAATCAGGCGGTATAGCGATACCAGACTTCAAACTATACTACAGAGCAATAGTAACAAAAACAGCATGGTACTGGTACCAAAACAGGCGTGTGGACCAATGGTACAGAATAGAGGACACAGAAACCAATCCACAAAACTACAACTATCTTATATTTGATAAAGGGGCTAAAAGCATGCAATGGAGGAAGGATAGCATCTTCAACAAATGGTGCTGGGAAAACTGGAAATCCATATGCAACAAAATGAAACTGAATCCCTTTCTCTCGCCATGCACAAAAGTGAATTCAAAATGGATCAAGGAACTTGATATCAAATCAGAGACGCGCCGTCTGATAGAAGAAAAAGTTGGCTACGATCTACAGTCGGTGGGGTCGGGCTCCAAATTCCTCAATAGGACACCCATAGCACAAAAGTTAATAACTAGAATCAACAAATGGGACTTACTCAAACTAAGAAGTTTTTTCTCAGCAAAAGAAACAATAAGAGAGGTAAATAGGGAGCCTACATCCTGGGAACAAATCTTTACTCCTCACACTTCAGATAGAGCCCTAATATCCAGAGTATACAAAGAACTCAAAAAATTAGACAATAAGAGAACAAACAACCCAATCAACAAATGGGCCAAGGACCTGAACAGACACTTCACAGAGGAGGACATACAGTCAATCAACAAGTACATGAAAAAATGCTCAACATCTCTAGCTGTCAGAGAAATGCAAATCAAAACCACCCTAAGATACCATCTCACTCCAGTAAGATTGGCAGCCATTAGGAAGTCAAACAACAACAAGTGCTGGCGAGGATGTGGGGAAAAGGGTACACTTGTACATTGCTGGTGGGACTGCAGATTGGTGCAGCCAATTTGGAAAGCAGTATGGAGATTTCTTGGAAAGCTGGGAATGGAGCCACCATTTGACCCAGCTATTCCCCTTCTTGGTCTATTCCCTAAAGACCTAAAAAGAGCATGCTACAGGGACACTGCTACATCGATGTTCATAGCAGCACAGTTCACAATAGCAAGACTGTGGAACCAACCTAGATGCCCTTCAATAGACGAATGGATAAAAAAAATGTGGCATTTATACACAATGGAGTATTACTCTGCATTAAAAAATGACAAAATCATAGAATTTACAGGGAAATGGATGGCATTAGAGCAGATTATGCTAAGTGAAGCTAGCCAATCCCTAAAAAACAAATGCCAAATGTCTTCTTTGATATAAGGAAAGTAACTAAGAACAGAGTAGGGACGAAGAACAGGAGAAGAAGATTAACATTTAACAGGGATGAGAGGTGGGAGGGAAAGGGAGAGAGAAGGTAAATTGCACGGTAATGGAAAAAAAAAAAAAAAAAAAAAGACTTAAGAGTTATCTCTGTGACTCTCCACTCTATCTCCTTGCAAATTATTCTACATACTCCCGAAAAGCATTTCCTTCCAATAGGAGGCTGCTATAAGGAATGAAAATAAGCCTTATATAAGACTACTGGTTATTTCCAGTAGAACTCAATGGCTACTAGTTGTTAGGAAAGCAAGTTATTAAATTTGGTTTTATAAATAGTATAGATTTCATGTTCCCCTCTGAAATCCTACTGTTTAGGAAGGAGGAAAACACTGGATTGTGCTCAATATCTTTTTTCTTTTGCTCTTTCTACTATTTGCTGTATGAAAGTAGTAATTCTACAATTACTTAATATAAATCACATATCAAAAAAACCTTGTATCATTTCCATATTGTAGTATTTTGGTTACATGCTGCCTAGGAAGTAAGTTAAGTTCTTCCAAAACTTGTAACTACCAAAAACAGATAACACATCTTACATGTATGGTGGATTTTTCTTTTGTTGTTGTTGTTAATGTAGTTTTGGGGATTTGGAACCAGGGTCTCACACATAGCAAGGCAAGTGCTCTTATCACTGAGCTATATCCACAATGTGTGCTGTGTTTTCTAACACACTAAAATCTTTTTAGGAGTGAGTTCTAAAAATGTATATAGTCAGAACAGCTGAAAATGCTTTGAAGCACTGCATAAATGCTTTTGTTTAAAGGACTGAACATATGGTTTTACTTATGGAACCCTGAACAGTTATTGTCATAAATTAATAGTTATTTACTATAGTAAATAGCTATTCATCTGTAACACGTGAAAAATATTTGTGATTAAGTATATTAAAGAGAACATGAGCACTGTAGAACTCAATGTGCCTTTAGTTAAAATGTCTTTATGATCCAGTTCCCATAAGCATTGTCAATTAAATGTAACTGTCCTAAATAACATAAAAAACATATAAAAACAGTCAGAAAATACTCCTGTTAGTAAAGTAATAATTTTGAATACAGCGTTAAAAAGAAACTTACCTTTTTGGGCTTTCAATGTCTGTTCTTCAATTTGCCTTAGACGTTCCATTAGTTCTTCCTTTTCACGTTCTATTCTTTCTTTTTCTTTTTCTGCTATTTCTCTTTTCTTCTTTTCATTCTCTAACTGTGCCCTTAGAAGGAATTGCAATTCCCATGTTATAAATCAATAGAAATAGTGTGAAACCTAATATTGAACATATAAGAAACTACAGCATAAATATTTAAAAATTTTTCATTATATTAACTTATCTTCAAATATGGTAGGGTTAAAAATATTGGCCTGTGCTGTTACACACACTTATGCCCATTCATATATACATGTGCTGGGTTTCAGTGTACTTCTTATTGTTGGATCATAATAAAGATGATCAATGACCATTATGAAAAACATTAAAGGCTTCAGACATCATAGGAGGATTCTTAACTACAAAACTGCTAGAAAGTATTGTGTATAAATCATGTTTTGTTTTGTTTTGTTTTGTTTTTGTGTGGTGCTAGGGGATAGAACCCAGGGCCTTATGAATGGAAGGTAAGTACTCTACCAACTGAGCTATATCCCCAGCCCATAAATCATGTTTTTAAGGCAGGTTTGAGTCAGGGAAAAAGATTAGGAGAGTTACCATCTTCACTGGGTCAATTCTGGCAACCTACATCAGCATCATGGAGTTTATTTTGCTCAGTTGCCATACCCCAAGAAAATGGCTTCTTTAACACAATCCCTTCTTAAACTGGGGAGGCTATTTTTAAAATAATTAATTATAAATCAATTAATGCAAGTTTAATTTCTGGGGTAGTACCCATATATGCCTACATCCAAGATGATAAATCAGTTTTATTTCCTTTGACAATGCCATTAGAATGATACCAGGTGTTTAATGCTGTAAAAAAAGATCATCATCAGAGCTTGCCAGTGGGAAAGCATGCCTTAATTGTTTAATTGCATCTCTCATGGACTGATGAGACATTCTTTAAAATAGGGCCAAATTCATTCATCAAACATCCATGAAGAGTCTACTCTGGGTCAGACTCCATGCTGAAGACCAAAAACAAAAGGATGAATAAAAGTCAGATGAGAAAATTATATCTTAACAAGTTCCATCAATATTCAAATCATTATTTCAATGAGAATAATTTTCTTTTTGTTAATTAAAAACAAATGATTTCATCTGTAACATTTTTTAATGTTCCATAAAAAGTCATCACTGCCATCTAGTGTCAATTCTGAATTTCACAACAAAACCACATTTCTCAGCAAAGTCTTACTATTAAAGTATTCTTCCTTTAAACTACAAACATAAATTTTGAAATTCCTACAGATTCCAAATATCATGTACCCCCAAGAGAAAGAGTCCAACTTGGGAGCAAATAGTATTGTCCCAAGTCAGTTAGTGGCAAGGCAGGCAATGATGGTGGTCAGGCATAATAAAAGTTAACTGCACAGTTGCCATACCCCAGTTGCCATACCCCAAGTTACACCAAGCCAACTCATGAAGTTGAAGAGTCACTAGAACCCCTGCTGGCTTAATAAATCCTCATACCACTTAGGAACTAAGGGCCTGAGGCTCATTCAGGCAAGGGGAACTCCACTTTAGTTTTGGGGTCCCTACAGGTACTTTCTCAAAACCTAGGAGAAAGAATCAATAACTATACTCCAGGACTTGTGTTCACTCTACAAAACATTCATTTCTATGAAGCATATAACAGGCAAAGAGATTCAAAGAGATAGGGGTTACTACCCTTCTAGACGTCTGAATGATGAAGGCTTAAGGGCATATTTAACCTTCCTAATTTCCTTGAGGAAAAGAAGAGTGTGGATGCAGCCCATTCCTAGAGAAAAGAAGGGTGTGATGCTGCCCAACTCTAGAGGTTGCTGCTCTTTCTGTGATCTTCAGACAGTGGAAGTATCAAGCTTTCCGTGAAAACAAAGGCACAGCAGTTTTCAAATAACTGCTAATATGGGCAAGAACTACTCATGTTTGTCCTCTTCCTGAGGATGTCCACTGCCTACCCCAACCACTTGCGAGCCTCTGCACAGTCATGTCTGCTGCTACCACAAGTCCCCAAGACAGTTCTCTTCTTTCTTCCTTTAGGCCCTACAACATTGCTTGAGGACTCACAGTGCAAATCCCATCTCAAGATCTGAAAGCTACAATGATATTTCACCATCAAAATCTTTCAGGTCCAGTTGTCTCATTTAGAGTCCCTTCTGGGGAAAAGTGCTGGTTTTATTTAGCTTTTCCCTATTGATGTTTCATTTGCTCTTCTTTAGGGATGAAGATGAAAGAGACAGGGAAGCAAATAAAAAGGACTGTACCTGGCTATAAGTAAAGTGGGGGTAAGTATCATTTTCCTACTGAAAAAAAAAATAACTGTGCAGCACAAGCACACATTTAATCCAATTATAAAACATTAAACATTCTTTAATTTACTCTGTACTCTTGTGAGGTTCATTTCTCACATCTTCTCTGTCCTGATTAGAGCCATTACCAGCTAACACTTCAAAACACCTAGTTTTTGAAGGCCTGTCTCCTTTATAAATAACTGGGAAATTTTGCTTCTCTGCTGCACACCATTTACTAGGGAGAATTAACTTGATCCACTCACTGGTCCTTTAACATAGCATGCATATTCTTATCTTCACACATGTATTTATTCACGTCTTCTCTATTCGCTAACCTTCAAGACCCCACCTTCTCTACAAAACTTCTTGTGGTTACTCCAACTATGGATGTAGATATTTTATTCAGAGTTTGGGTTGAAAATACTCATTTTGACCCAGTTCTATTTCAAGGTCATAAATAACATTAGTAAACTACGTATTCTATATATTAACATACAAAAATAAATTATTTTAGAATATTTTTCAAAGATTATCAAATGGGCCCACTAACATTTTTCCTAAATGAATATTAAATTTACATTCAACTTAGAATATGTTAAAATATTGAGAATTACTATAACAGCTACTATCTAAGAAACACCAAATACTTTGCTAAATGCCTATATATAGGTGTCATTATTTCTTAAAAAAAACCTTTGAAGGTAAGATTATTACTTTCCTAATAAAAGCAAGGGAACACAGGCTCAAAAAAGTCTTATTAAACAAGAATTAGAAGAGGATTCAAAGCAAAATCTATTTAGTTTCAAAGCTTATGCTCTTTGCATGACACCAGCTATGTTCTCGTGACATAAGCAGCCAGCCATGACACAGAAGCTTCCACAACTAACCTACAATTGGCATATGGATATCTGATTCCAAATTGTAAACTTAAGGTTTTCAGTTTTTAAATTTAGTAACCATCTTGGCTATAGAAAATTATGTTCAGGTATGACAGAATGAGTCATTCAATTTGGACATAAATAACAAGACCATTTTCATTGCCAATAAAAGAATTATGGGGAAAATATTCAGCCACAAAAACAAAGATATTGTAGGGTAAGAGGTCTACTGGCTGCCCTTTCCCATCTACTGTTTTTGCCCAAGTGATTCTAGCAGCACAGACAGCACACCTCTGAGCATTCCCCAAAGTTATGTCTGCTGGCTACTTTACCAGTGGGCTTGACCAAAATTGTTTCCACATATACAGCTGCCATTTCTCTCTCCCTGTAAAGCAGGGAATAAATGAAGACTTAGCATGCCATTTCTGAAAGTCTATCAATCCTTAGATGACTAGAATAATAAAGTTATAAACTCTCACTGTGCATAAAGCAGTCAATAAACAATTACTAATGAAAAGCTATAAAATGTATTCCAAAAAGGAAACATGAATTACAATGCCAAAAAAGAAACTTAAGTGTTCCACTTCCTTCTAGGTTTTAGAGTAACTATCACCAAATGATACTAATAAGATTCCATATAGCCCACTTCTATGTGCTGAGGAATAAGGTAAATAATAGGACAGCAGAACAACTAGACATCATATGGAGGGGTGACTATAAGATACAGGAACTGCACATAAAGTAACTTTTCACTTAATCCAGCATAGAAAACTTTGGAGAAGAGAGTAAAAGTTTTATGATGATTTTTTAAAATATAAGAATACATATAAAGAACTTTTTAAAAAGTAAGACTAGAAACACAATGTAATCCAAAGGCACATGACAGCAGGAAAAAAGGACAAAGCCCAAAGTAACAATATAATTTAGTATCCTTGTTAATGGAATCAGGAATTATTAAGGTCCATGTCCACACAAAATCTAACAAAGTCAGATTCTGTAGGGCATACAATTTAAGTTAATATTATAAAATAAGTAAAAATAATAAAACATCTGAATTACTTACAACATTTTAAAAAAATCATTAAATACAAATAGCGGAACTATAATAGCACAGTGACATCTAGAAGAGGGGCCATTTAATTACTAGACACAAACTATATTATGTCCAATGTTTAAAATGTATGTCTAGATTTCCTCAATTTGGGGTTTTTGATTTTCTTAAGACCTCTATTTCTTAGATGATCACATTGTTCCATAAAGATTTCCACAATAAAGGGTTAGCTTCAGTTTGGCCACTAAATTTTTTTCAAATAAAATATACAGTTAAAATCTAGAATCAGATATGGGAATTATGTTGCTGGAATGAGTAATGTAGTTCCAGGTTCAATAAGGGTTTTATTCAATATTTCTCAGTTTTAATGTGCATTTAATAGTATCTTTCAAGACTAAGAGAAACAGTCAAAAAGATCAGGGTCTTTGGTAGGAATTACTGGTGTTTTTCTATTCTACAATAACTTGAGTTCTACAATGTTACTAACATTATTTCAAAGTTAAACATTGAGCACATTCTTACCCTTAAAAACTTAAGAAATATGTCAAAAGCAAAACACATTTGAAAATTTTTAAACTACCCTGCCCCAAACAATATAGGTGAAAAGCATGACTGATTAAAAAAATAAATAAAAATACACATCTTTGAAGTCATGAAAAGCTATTTTCCAAGAAATATTTGTCACATATATTTTACCTTGAAAATTATACATACTCATTTTTAAAAAGGACAATGTGAGGGGCTGGGGCTGGGGCTCAGTGGTAGAGCACTTGCCTAGCACATGTGAGGCCCTGGGTTCTATCCTCAGCACCACATAAGAATGAAATAAAGATAATGTGTCCAACTAAAAAATATTAAATATTAAAAAAGGTTTAAAAAAATAAAAATAAAAAGGACAATGTGATAATGCTGTCTATTTTAATACAACGACAAATAATATAAAAATGTAAAATTAGAGTATAGTAATAAAACTGACAAGTCTTAAGTTTTAGATAGTTTATTGTACCAATTAAAAATGAAAGGCTATAAATTCATACCTTTCCAACTGCTTCTGATGTTTCTCCTCCCTAGCCTGAGCTTTCATCTGTTGTACTTCAATAGTATCAGGCTTTCTTCGTCGCATGTACAGTTCATGGTTTCCCATACATAAGGCCAAAATCCGCTTATTGATTCTTAGACGCGGTGCATAAAAAACAAAATCCTGAACATAAAATATTCTGATTTAAAACCTTTCTGAAATATAGTGTCTTTCATATCCATTAAATTTCAACATGAGGTATGAATTCTAATGTCAATATATATACATAGTTTAGAAATCATTAAATTTCCTAATTCCTAATTACTAGTTCCTTACCTCTGCATGCCTAACCAGTTTTATACAGAGATTAATATCTTATTCTCTCATTACTTTAAATGTCATTCTTTTTTCTTTTCCAAATAACTATGACCACCTGTTCCTTACCACCATAGAAGAGGAGATTATTTTGTTTAGCTTTTCACAATTAATGTCAAAATCAGTCCTTGTTTGTGGCTGTTTTCAACCTAGAAATGTCCTCCATATCTTTTTGTTTTCAATAACAAGCAGAGATAGAATGCTAGAGTATCCCTGACATTAGCTAAATGTTAAAAATCTGTTTAAAGATCCAAGGCTCCAAGCAAAAGAAAAAAAAATTTATAATATAAAACTCTATAAACAGAAAACTATCTCTACTACATTCCAGTCACCAAATAATTTTTAAATTGTTTCTTAAAAATGGTGAAACATTTGTTACTTTACCACTGGGAAAGTTAAAACTAAAAAAAAGAGAATGTACCTCAAAAGCAATTCAATAAATGATTAATTCCATTCTTCAAGTGACATCATAGGGAAGTAGCAGAAATTTAAAGAGTTAAAACATAAATTTACTTACAGGTGCCTTTTTGTCGATTGGTTTTATAACAAATTTTTTGTCATTAAATGAAATATTTCTGATTTCACTCCAGGGAAAGCCAATTTTAGGTGTTAACCTTAAAAAGTAAGAGCATCCCTTTAATTAAAGGCAGGAAACAACAGAAAAAGTTAATCAATTCTTGGGGGCCGTTTGGCAATCTTAAAGAGTTATGTTTTCAAAATGTATTTTTAATAGAAATTTGACATATTGAATCACATGATAACCTCTCAAAGAGTTTATAAATGTGTCATGAACCTTAAAAGCATTATTTTCCTAAAATTACGTAAGAAAAAAATATCTGGTAATCAGAGTATAGAAATAAGTCTCTTGGAGTCTATATTATTTTAGATTTTTATTCCGTTTTTAAGCTACTACAACTTTCAGTTAAATATGTTTAAGAAAGAAAGGGCAAAAATTAGGTTTTTATAACTGCTCATGTGGATTATGAACATCAATTACTATTATTTCCTTCTTGTTAAATGTTTAGATATATGAATATATTAAAAACATTGGATTTTCAGTATACTTGGAAAGAATTAATTTAATGGTATATGAATTATATCTCAATTTTAAAAATTCTAAAGTGTTCACAAATGGCTGGATAAGTGGTAGAACTAAAATTCAAACTCTATATGACAGTTGTCCCTTTTTATCACCCTATATATAAAAATACAGGGAATCTGATTAGAGTAAGTAATTTTGTTTCTGCTTTTTCATCTATTTTACTTTTTCAGACTATCAATCAAATCATATAAGTGAGAAATAACTGACTCTTACACTAGCCAAGAAGTCATCCAGGCTACTCATAACTAAGAATTTCTAGCTATTTGTACTACCTTTAATACTTAAGCAGATAGGTACTACAGCATAGCAAATTGTTTTTTTCTACATAAAACATTCTTTACACAATATGCATGTGTTATTCTAGCCTCTAATGCCCACTAAATCAAAGTAAGCTGCTTGAAAAGGAAGTGACAGAAACACAACCACAACTCTACAACTGAGCCACACCCACTGTTCCCTGCCTCCAGTCCTTTTTATGTTGAGACAGTATCTCACTAAGCTGCCTAGACTGGCATCAAACTTGTGATCTTCCTGTCTCAGCCTCCTCAAAGCTGGGAATTACAGGCATGAACCACAGCATCCAGACGGAACACAATACTTTTAAGGTAAAACTTTGCTACATTTATTTGCTACTTTTAAAAAATTACAAGAATATAATTGTGAGAATTATATTGGGAGCCTGGAAACAAGTAGAAAAATTTTCTTCCCTTTCTTTTGGCATTAGGGGTTGAACCCGGTGGCCCTTTACCATGAGTCATATCCCCAGCCCTTTTTTTAATATTTTGAGATAGGGTCTCATTGAGTTGCTTAGGGCCTTGCTAAGTTGCTATGGCTAGCTTTGAACTCAAGATTATCCTGCCTCAGCCTCCCAAGTCATTGGAATTACAGGCATACACCACCACACCTGGCTCAAAGATTTTTTTAAAAGGAGAAAAAATAAAAATCCATCCATAATTAGTCTTAAGGTAATTTCTGCCTTTGAAAAACCTGCTAAATTTCCTGTAGTGAATTATATAGCTAGCATTCTAACTTGCTTTGTATAGAGTAAAAATTGCAAAATTCCTTTTCTGGAGTCATAATTATAGACTTTGAAATATATACTTTATTAGACAGGTATAATCTGAAAACTAAAATTCTGGAGCCAACCCAGAATAAAAAACAATGCCTTAGGAGAAGGCAATACTGACACAGACTTCAATGCTTATGTGGTTTGGTAATAATGTATAATTGTAGCAATTATTCCCCAAAAGTTCTACCAGAATCTGATATATTTATATGGTATTACATACATGTACATATATATATATGTACATGTATGTAATACCATATAAATATATAAATAAAAAAATTACTTTTTCAGACTATCAATCAAATCATATAAGTGATAATATGGTATTATAATACCATTATATATTTATATAATACCATATAAATATATATATATATATATATATATATATATGTCAATATAGTATATATACAGATATATGCCCATATAGAGTGTGTGTGTGTATATATTTATGTATAATGCAGTACTGACAAGCTAGTCACTTTTAAAATATAATCAGACTGTTTATTATGCTTAACATTCTATTCATGTCCAAAATATTCAAAACAATTCCTATAAACATTCAAAAATTGTTTCAAAACCCAATATATATATTTCTATTATAACTTCTCTCATTGCTTATGATTTCTTATACATGTTAACTTTAACCTATTTGTCAGTATCATAACATCTAAGGAATTATCCTTAACCTATTGAGATTTTAGTTATGTCTGATAAGACATAACTCAAAATGAGATAAACTACAACTCAAATAAAAGTCACCCCATTTGATAAACACCAAGAAGTAGAACCTTTGAAACTGCAAGGTGCTAAGAAAATGGAAATATAAATGCCTATAAGCCTGGTAGCTTGAGAAGCCAGGGCAGAAGGATCACAAATTCAAAACCAGTCTCAGCAACTAAGCAAGACCCTATCTCAAAATGAAAAAGGGCTGGGGATTTGGCTCAGTTCTTAAGCATCCCTAGTTTCAATCTCTGGTACTAAAACCAAAACAAAACAAACAGTAAGGGTAACCAAGACAAGAAACCACTTTTACAAACAGAACATAATTTGATAGACATTTACACCACCGACTAACAACTAGCTCATTATGCAGTTGATTTACTTACTTGTCATCATGCTCATAAATATTCAGACCCAAAGCATCAACGCCTAGCCACAATTCAGTACCCTTTTTATTTTTTATTTCAAAATAGTTGACACCGTACATTTCTAGATCTTGCGCAATCTTCAAGTATTCCATCATTGAATCTTCCCTGTTGAAATAAAGCTAAATGTAATATATTTAAGTGGAAGAATCTAAATATCAGATTTAAACTACAAAAATACATTGGATTGAAATTTAATGTTTTTTCATAAAACTCAAATGATTGGGGGGGGCATAATACATAACAGTGTTGAAAATTTTTAAATGAAATAAAAATACTTTAATTGAAGGAAAACATAGTCACCAAAATACCTTAGCATTCCTCTATGTTCTTCATGCCAGTTCTGTATTCTTTCTTCCCATTGTTCTTTTGTCAGTTTATGTTGTTCCAAAACACTGTGGGGGGGGAAAAACTATTTTAATACTTTTGTGATTTCTAGCCCAGTAGTGAGGTAGCACACACCTGTAATCCCAGTGGCTAGGGAGGCTGAGGCAGGAGGATTGAGAGTTTAAAGCCAGCCTCAGCAACAGTGAGGCACTAAGCAACTCAGTGAGACCCTCTCTTTAAATAAAATACAAAATAGGGCTGGAGATGTGGCTCAGTGATTGAGTGTCCCTGAGTTCAATCTCTGGTAGCCCCCCTCCAAAAAAAGTCTAAAATCCTTTCAGTACTTTGACCATGGTAGCAGTCATACAAATTAATATATGTGAATAAAAACTACACATAACTAAATATATACACAAATAAGAGCATGTAAAATTGATGAAATCTAAATAAGTTAGAGTGTGTCAATGTCAGTATCTTGGTACCACACTATAATTTTTCAAGATGTTACCACTAGAGAAGGCTGAGAGGACACACAGAAATTTTTTAAATTAACATTACATTTGAATCTACAATAATATGAAATTTTCAAGATAGTTTAAATTATCTTAAATGCAGTCTTTAAAATATCTATATGAGAATTACAAAAACTGTAGTATTAAAACACTATTGTTTTATGATGTAAAAATTTTTCATTAAACCCAGGGATTTCTTGGCAATATAAAGTAATATAGGGTATAAAATCTTCCCTGGACAAGTCAGGTGCAACCTAAGAATAGATTTCTTGATGGAGTCTATTATATTCTCTATGAATCCTCTTTCAAGCTCTTGTTTTTGGGGAGAACAGTTTTGTCACTCATCAGAGCACTTACATTTCCACATTTTCTCTTGCTGTCTGGACTCTGGGCTCACCATGAAGCATGCAGTCAGCCTCAGAGGCTTAACCTACTGTAATAATTGTTCACTATCATATGCCTAGTAAGAACACTGAAGAGGTACTAAAAATTTGTAGAACATACAAATGAAATAATCATTTTCCCTCCTTTAAAGGAACAAGTCTAGAAACCCATGCTCTCCTAGCCCTAGAGAGTATATTTTTCTTTTTCAGAGGTAAACTTCTTTTAAGGACTGTCCACATTTATTAGCTTTAATTTCCATACCCAATAGGCATTGCCCCCAATCTACCACCACCTGCTTCAATCTAGAACACTATACTGAAACTATTCTTTGTTTTGGGTTTATTTTTTTTTTAGTTATAGACAGACACAATACCTTTATTTTATTTATTATTTGTTTTTATGTGATGCTAAGGATCAAACCCAGTGTCTCACACGTGCAAGTCAAATGCTCTACCAACTGAGCTAACCCCAGCCCCCTGAAACTATTCTTAACTAAAGTCCCTACCAATTTCTATTACCAGCAGACAATTTCTCTTCATACTTGACCACTCTGTACTATCTGGCAGTGCCTGACCTTTCTCTCCTTAAACCATTCTTTTACTAGAGTTTCTATGGTATAACACTCCTCTAATATTCTTGTATCTCTTCCCATTTTTTCTCAGTATCTTCTAGAGGGGCTTCTTCTTCTGTACTTAAAAATTCAGGTTCAACAATGTTTGGGTTATACTACCCACATTTCAAATTCAGTAACATCAAACTGAATTTACCCTCCTCCCAAATTTACTTTTTCTTCCCCTTGTTTTCATAAAAGTCACTACCAAACACCTAGCTATCCAAGACAGAAACCTACCATGGAAAAATTTCAAAGGAAATTGATACTGTCTGGTAGCTGATTATCCATATCACCAAAATTTAAACTACTGTGATAGACTAGACTACTTATTTGGATTTTTTCAATATAAGAATTAAAAATCCACCAGAATCAAATTATTTGTTTATTGTCACCAAATAACCCTGTGATTTCTCATTTCCTCCTCATATACTTAGATAATAACAAATGGATTATACATAATACATGGAATAAGCCAATCACTATGAAGGTATTTTTTTCATTCAAAACCAAAAAAAAAACAATAATCTAAAAATTTATGCCCAAGTCTCTTGTAAGCTTAAATCGTGAATTAGTCCTCCATAAACTGTCAATTCTGGAATAACAACGGACCTAAAAATCTTGAAGAACATCTGCACTAACAATGGTAAACAATCCTATCCAAAGTTGTTCAGCTATCTTTCTTCTTATTTAAATAGAATGAATTATAGCACACATGCATTTAAATAAATTATAAGTGCATTTTAGTATTTAAAAGATTATTTAAATCACAAGACTATTATATATAAGACAATTATTCAACCAAACAGGAAACTGACCTAACAATGAAAAAACAACTACCTGTGTTGTACTTATTGAAATAAAGCATGTTCACTGTTTTATAAACATTTGAGAAATTCTAAGGGTAATTTTATTGTAAAATTCAACCTATGTACTGACTTCAAACCTAATCTGTTTTTAATATATAAATTATATCTCAAAAGTAAAAATGAATCCTTTCTGAAATGAAATTCGGTATTAGTTATTACTTAATTCACTGCCTTAAAAAATCTGAGACCAGCAATTTCAGTGTTGTACACCTCTAGTTCTAGGACTTAGGAAGCTAAGGCAGAAGGACCACTCAAGCCCAGGAGTTAGTTAGAGTCTAGCCTGGACAGTATAGCAAGAACCCATCTCAAAGAAAGAAAAAGAAAAAAGGAAAAAAATATCTGAGAGGATTGGGGGGTTGGAATAATTATTAAAACCAGAAGAACATTGCTACAGCTTGCCCTCACCAAAACTCTTACTGAGTTTTCAACCATGTTGATTGGTGGTGGGTTAAGAGGGATTTATACGTCTTTCTCCAGAGACTGCATAAGTTCCCAAAGAACACTTTGTTATAAAGCATTTAGCCCCTTTGGCCCCTCCTCTCTTGATTGTGTGTGGTACTGGGGATTGGTGCATGCTAGGCAAGTACTCTGCCACTGAGTTACATCTCTAGGACACTGGACCCTTCTCTTTTCTGGAGAAGCCCACTTCCCTTTCACTGCCATGAGGTCTATAACAGAGGCCACCCTGATGTGATAGCCTGATCTTGGGAACCTTCAGAACTGGGGCCAAATTAATACCCTTTTCTTTACAAATTACACAATCTCCAGTATTTCAATATAACAAAAACAAAGACTTACAAATATTTCATTTACATAGAGACTTAAAAATGTTATATTCCTGATTCTCCTGATGAATATGCATCATTCTTTTTTCTAAGATTATTTCTATAATATTAAAAGGCAGAACACAGTAACAACCAAATTTTAAAGGTGCTGTACTTGGTGGTACATTATAAAGCATATATCAATAATTATACATTAGCCAAAAATAAACACCAATGCCTATAGTCAAAGGAAATTAACAAATGTGGACAAAGTAGTTTTGTCTTTATATTTAGTAGCTATGAAAATGAGCTTCAGTACTTTGAGGAAATGGTACAAAAAAAATTTTAAGTCAATAATAATAATATACTGTTTTTCATTTACAGAAAGTAAAAACCTCTTTCGGAGCTCTAAAAGAAAGATCTCGATCTACTTTCTAACATTGGGGATATGTGTGATACCAAAATTAAAAAGATATTCATTTTTCTTTTTAGTTATACATGACAGAGTATATTTTGACATATTCATACACTCATGGAGTACATCTTATTCCTAATTAGGATGGCAATCTTGTGGTTGTATGTGATATAAAGACTCACTGTGGTATATTTATATACATATGAAAGTTAAGTAACATTCATTCCACTGTCTTTCCCATTTCCTGTCTCGCCTCCCTTATTTCATTCCTCTTTGGCTAATCTACAGAATTTCTATTCTTCCTCTGCCCCCAATGTTGTGTGTTAGCATTCACATATCAGAGAAAACATTCAACCTTTGGTTTTGGGGGATTGGCTAATTTCACTTAGCATAAGAGTCTCCATATCTATTCAATTTCTGGCAAATGTCATAAAGTCATTCTTTTTATAGCTTACATTCTATTGTACATATATACCACATTTTCTTTATCCATTCATCTGTTGGTTTCATAACTTAGCTATTATGAACTGAGCTGCTATAAACACTGATGGGGCTACATCACTGTAGTATGCTTTTTTTTTTTTTTTTTAAGTCCTTTGGGTATATACCAAGGAGTGGGATAACTGGCCAAATGGTGGTTCCATTCCAAGTTTTCTGAGAAATTTCCATACTGCTTTCCAGAGTGGTTGCACCAATTTGCAGTCCCACCAGCAATGTATGAGAGTATTTTTATCCCCACATCCTTGCCAACATTTATTGTTACTTGTATTCTTGATTATTGACATTCTGACTTGAGATGTGATCTCAGTGTAGTTTTAATTTGCATTTCTCTTAATTGCTAGAAATGTTGAACATAATTTCATATATTTGTTGACCATTCATTATTTCTTCTTCTGTGAAGTGTCTGTTCAGTTCCTTTGCCCATTTATTAATTGGATTATTTGGGTTTTTTTAATGTTTTTTTGAGCTCTTTATATATCCCAGAGAGTAATGCTGAGGTACAGGTGGCAAAGATTTTTTTTCCCATTCTGTATGTAGGCTCTCTCTTCGTGCTCTTGATTATTTCCTTTGCTGTGAAGAAGTTTTTTAACTTGATACCATCCCATTTATTGATTCTGGATTTTATTTCTTACATTTTAGGAGTATTGTTAAGGAAGTCAGTTCCTAAGCCAACATGATGGAATGCTAGGCCTATATTTTCTTCTAATAGGTATAGGTTTTATGGTCTAATATCTAGGTCTTTGATCCACTAGTTTTGTGCAGGGTAAGAGGGAATAAATTTCATTGTTACATAGAGATTTCCAGTTTTCCCAGCACCATTTGTTGAAAAGGCTATCTTTTCCCCAATGTATGTTTATGGTACATTTGTCTAGTATGAGATAACTGTATTTATGTGAGTTTGTCTCTGTGTCTTCTATTTTGTTCCACTGGTCCTCATTTCTGTTTTGGTGTCAATACCATGCTGTTTTTGTTACTATAGCTCTGTAGTATAATTTAAGGTCTGGTATTGTGATGCCTCCAGCTTCACTTTTCTTGCTAAGCATTGCTTTGGCTATTCTGAGTTTCTTTTCCAAATGAATTTCATGACTGCTTTTTCTATTTCTATGAAGAATGGCATTGGAATTTTAAATAGGAATTGCATTAAGTCTATACAGTACTTTTGGGATAGTTTTCTTAATTTCTGTTTCAGCTGATTCATCATTGGTGTATAGGAACACAATCGATTTATGGGTATTAATTTTATATCCTGCTACTTTGCTGAATTAATTTATGAGTTCTAAAAGTTTTCTGGTGGAGTTTTTTGGGTCTTCTAAATATAGGATTATGTTGACAGCAAATAGGCATAGCTCTTCTTTTCCTATTTATATCCCTTTAATTTCTTCTTTTGCCTAATTGCTCTGACTAGAGTTTCAAGGACTGTGTTGAATAAAAGTTGTGAAGGAGGGCATCCCTGTCTTATTCTAGTTTTTAGCGGGAATGCTTTCAATTTTTCTCCATTTAGAATAATATTGGTCTTGGGTTTAGCATATATAGCTTTTACAATATTGAGGAATGTTCCTACTATCCCTCCTGTTCTAGTGTTTTGAACATGAATTAATGCTGTATTTTGTCAAATGCTTTTTCTACATCTATTGAGATAATTATGTGATTCTTGTCTTTATATCTATTGATATGGTAAATTATGTTTATTGATTTCCATATGTTGAACCAAACTTGCAAACCTGGAATGAAACCAGTTGATCATGGTGTACTTTTTAATGTATTTCTGTATGAAATTTGCCAGTATTTTATTAAGAATTTTTACATATGTGTTCATCAGGGATGTTGGCATGAAGCTTTCTTTCCTTGATGTGTCTTTGTCTGGTTTTAAAATCAGGGTGATACTAGCTTCATCGAATGAGTTTGGAAGGAGAACTGTGATATTTAAATATAACATTTGATACTATGTTTTCTAGATTTCATAAATAATCTTACCAGATAACAGTATAACACTTTACAATTAAAACTGTACAATTCATGAACTGTATTCATAAACTGGAGTTGAACAGAACAGCATTATTTATCTTCATTTTACCAATTTAGATACTGAGACTCAAGATATTTTAGATTATGAATCTACTGTCACATAACTAGCAAAAGGCATGATCAGTTCTCAAAATCTGTCAAAACCTAATGATTTCTTCCTAAGCCATATTTAAAAATTACTATTAAAAAGACAAGACTAGGATTGTGGCACAGTGGTAGAGCACTTGAATCATATGTGTAAGGCACTGGGTTCAATTCTCAGAATCACATATAAATAAATGAATAAAATAAAGGTCCATCAACAATTAAAATATATGTCTATTATATCTAATATATTTACTAATATATATAAGATATATATAATATTATATATTCTAAAAAGTATCACTTTTTAAAAAAAGATAATAGCACTGTATTGTAGAGAAATAGAGCACCAACCTATGAATCTGAAAGCCTAGTTGAAAAAGCCTTTTTAAAAAGTTGGAGGAAACATAGTGTGCCACTTATCATTCTCAAAAGCATTTACTAAACATCTATATGCTTATTTTAGAACATTTACTAATCAGCAACAGTTTATATCCTTCCCTTAAGCCTAAATTAACATATCACTTTACTGCTTATCCTATAGAAATGATGGCAGAAGAGGTAGATCAACTTTAAGCAATTATAGAGCACATAAATCTACAGAGAGGCTGAGTCAGAACTTTTAAAAGTATACTTTCTGATCCAGCTGGCAACTTAAAAATCTCAATTATTTTAATTTAAATTTCTGGAATATAATTTTCAAAAAATATAACAGAAAGGCTTGTTCACTTACCGTTGGGGTAGGAGTCTATCATTAGCCAGGTAGCCTGGTTTATGAACCTCTTTATTATAATCTCCATACTTGGCTTGGACAGCATAGGAGGCCAAAAGAACTGCAGTTTCTGGTGGGCAATATATCTCATCATTTAATATGGCTTCTTTAACTTGCAAGAAGAAAAGTCTCTGGGTTATTTCTTGAATTAATTCCTCAGAAACATCTTCAGGAAAGAATTTAGCTCTAAACTTGAACTGTAAAGGATTCTCTTTTTTAACATCTTGCTGTGTCACCTAGAACAGTAATTCAAGTATAATCAATAAAAATCTCAAATTCAACACAACTGAGTCCAGTCACATCAAATTATTTCTGGAAAAAAGAGGAAGTGAAATAAAAGTTTCCAAACCTTCAAGTAATACTATGTAAGATTTTAAATGTGTAAACAAATAAATGTGAGAAAAGCAATGCTATGCTCAGTTATGAAGGCTGCTTGTAACTCACAGATCTGATTTAATAACTAAATTGAAAACTTCTTTTCATATTCTGGAGACACTTATCCTGCAGATGTTCCAATTAAGGTCCAAATATGTAGTTATACAATATGTAATATCTGCCTTATAATAATAATTCACAGATACTAGTTTTCAACTAGGAAGTGAGCATATCTTTTTACTCAAATGAAGTTGATGGTGCTTAATTTAAAAATATGACATCTTGCAATGATGAACAGAGATAACTATAAAAGCGACTCAGAATCAGACACTTAAATTTACCAGCAAATTCACAATAATTTCAAATTAACTTAATTACTAGCTTAATTTTATCATGCACATTTTACCTTTTTATTTAGTTTAAGCCACGTAGAATAACCTTTGCTGTCTACATACTGCAGCCCAAAAAACCAGACCTCACGCAAACCAACTGTTTTCACCACCTAAAAAAAAAAAAAAGAAAATTCATTCACATGGCAACTAGATGACACTAGAAACTAGACTTTAATAGAACAAAACTAGAGAGGTATAGATATATTCCTTTGCCATTAAAAAAAGGCATTTCCTAAGGAAAAATTGAACATATTCACAGAACATGTCTGAAAACTTACATTTGGATTTTCTTTTTTTTTTTTTTTTAAGAGAGAGAGAGAAAGAGAGAGAATTTTTTAATATTTATTTTTTAGTTTTCGGTGGACACAACATCTTTATTTTATTTTTATGTGGTGCTGAGGATCGAACCCAGCGCCCCGCACATGCCAGGCGAGCGCGCTACTGCTTGAGCCATATCCCCAGCCCTAAATTTGGATTTTCTATATACTCGATTTTGTACTATCACTTCAGTCTTCATACTTGATTCACCTGTTTGTATTTTCTTTTCCTCATCTCCCATTACAACCTCAACAAATAACAAGTCCAGAGAACAAATATGCAATTGTCATAATCCTACATTTCTATTCCAACTTACTCTTAGAATTATCCTATTGGTATTCAGGGCAAATAGTTTGATTTTTGTGCTTAGAAAAGAGTCTGATATAGTCTATGTTCTACGATCACTAAGCATTAAACCATTCTTGGAACATGCCATAACTTTCACCCTTCTACACCTTTGCTCATGCTTTTTAACTCTCTGCTAGAATGTTTCTTCTGTCCTTTTGTCACCTGTTGAATAATTTATTATTCAAGGCTCAGCTCAACTAACATGCCTTCTGTGCAGAAAGCTCTCTCAATTTTTAGATAAATTAATCACTTGTTTCTGATTACTTTATTCTGCTATCAGAACACTTATTCTATCCTACCATTATTAAATGTGTTTTTAGTACTGTGTCTATTTACTCTCCTTCACTAACACTTAAGGACAGAGATTACTATTTTTTTTAAATTTTATTTTAACATCCAAGTCCTCTCACAGAATAATTATCCTATTGCAGGTACTCAGAAATACTGGAATACTAAAGTGGTGCAGCTAGCATATACACCCAGGATTATACCCACACTTAACAAAAGAATATTAAAACATACTTCAAATAAAATAAAATACTTAAAATGAAGGGAAGTGAGAGGTCACTAACATTTTAAAAACTTAAGATTTAACTTCAGCTCTTAAATGATAAACATTGTTTATTTTTTAAAACTAATCTTAAAATATTCCAGGCTTTTGGTTTCAATACAGCAAATTGATCCTTCAGTTTACTCTCACTTGAAATTTTTCACTAAAATGTTACATACAAAAAATAGTTTCTCTCCAGGGAGAAATACCACTCTCAGAATTTTATTCCCTCTCTGCACCTGCTTGTCATTGTAGCAACAGAGAAAATGTAGTGAAAAGAAAGCCCTGGGGTGGTGAGAAGCAGCAGATGCATTTCTGAGCTTAGGTTAAGCAGCCAAGTGGCCAAAGTAGCCAATCACTGGCTGCAGAGGACCTCCCTGGTCTCAGGCCCGGCAAGCCAGTGGAATGTTTAGGCTGCATCTTTCTGTTTTCAAAGGCTGCGACTTGTGCTTCATGCCTTGCCCACTTCCCATGACAGAGTCAGAGGAGAATTAGACGAGTCCTGCTTTTTATTCTTTACCTGGGAATCTTTCTCCTTGAATGGTTTGCTCTTTCAATTCATCAAATACTCACAACACAGCAAGAAAGAGGCGCCCAAGAAGACTGCCTGAATCAGGACAGCTCCCTGTGCTGAGCACATGCTAACAGTAGGGTTTTCTCCCTGCAGTAAAAGCCCTTGCAGGCCTCAGTGTCTAGCACCAATCCTGAACTTACAGATATGCAGGCATGGAGCCCAAATGAACCCAGTGACTTTGAAGAAGATTTTTTTTTCCTCTATGCGAACTTCTCTGGCCTATGTGAATTCCAACTGTGCCTGTGGCCTCCTAATTTCTGGGATAGCTGGTCCAGGCTTTTTGTTTGTTTTAAAAGAGTAAAAATGGGGATTTAAAATCAAATCTTTTGTTTGCCCTTCTTTCCCTTTCTAACTTTCTTTTGAGGGAGGCATTTTGGATTCCTCATATACCTTAACTTATGAAGCCTGACTCCTGTTTCAGAAAAAAGGTGGCAGAGGAAAAATGAGAGGCAAGAGGAGTTCCAGGTCTTTCTAAGGAAAAGATTCTCTTTTTTAACTTTGTTGCATACCTGAAGGCTGGCCACTCATCATATGCTAGGGAGGGGTTATAATTTCAATACTGAAATTGTTTTTCCTTACCTGAACTATAATTCACCTTAAAAACAATTCCGGAGGGGGAAGAGGCAGTATTGTTCAGGGAGTGTGTATGTGTGACTCAGTGTGGCTGTTTTGTTTTGCAGTGGTTGTCTAAAATATTTTCACAGTATGTTTAATATTCGGTGTTTTAAAACACAGTAGTAGTCAGTAAAGTAGGATTCTGATTCTGGAACCTGGGATGTGTCCCATGTCAGTGGGTGAAGTTGTCACCTAGGGTGGCATCCACACACCAGCTCCATGGGCAGATGCAGGTGCTAGAATCAGAAAAACTAACAGACCCACATCAAAAGTAACCCAACAAGGGTTTTCATTTCATACAGGATACAGTATTTTTATTTTATCACAGAGTCATAATTTTTTTGAAGTTTTCAAACTTTGAAATTTGAATGATTTCAAATTATATCAAATATTTAAATTATATTAAATATTGTAGTTTTAAAACTATAACAAAATCTAAAATTTCTATTTTTTGTTTTTCATTTATCTGTTCTCTCATCTATTAAATTGTTTTATGAGGGTGGAGAAGTTTTCTCTTCTTAACATTTGTTTCTATAACCAAAAATAAATTATATATTAAAGAAATAAAAAAAAGAATGTTTAAAATAAAAATAATTCAGTTGTGCTAAGAATATATTAAAGGTTATCATAACAAACACATTTTTGGAACATATGGAATATAAACACTCATACTAATGTTGCAAAACCTAATAATGCCAAACAATGAAAAATTTAATGCAGATAAAAGGAGATCCCAAATAACTTTGGCAAGAGAGAAGCTATCCAGCAAAGCCACAGAAAATGTTCAAGCTCAGGGTAGCAAGAATAGGAAAGGTATGGGGCAAAAGTAGCAGAGAAACGTGAACCTAAACAGATGGCCTCAGCTTTTGCCTCCATGCTTTGTGAGATTCACAATGCTGGCTGATTAAAAGGGGATGTGCCACAGTGGGCACAAGGCATAGTACTTTAACTAACTTTACACAACTAATACGCAAGACAATCAGGAAGAGTTTAGTTGTGAAATTCCCTAGTATGCCCAATCTCACAAGAAGCTCTTTCCCTACTTCTTCTGGAGGTATGATCAGAAACTTTTGATCACATACCTAAAAATTTTAAAATGCTGGGGGCATAACTACAACAGGTATTTTTTAAATAAAATATACTATTATATTAATAAAGACTATATTTTTAAAGAATTAGAAAAAGAAAAAAATATAAACAAAAATTTTAATAAGAGATTTCTGAGTATTCCTTGGGCACATGAATATTTTAATACCACAAGTAGAAGCTAAACAAGGAGGCTAGGAGAGGAAGAGTCAGCCTCCAGGAGCAAACGAAAGAACTGCATGCACTCAATATAAGTACCCCCAAGAAGCTAGCCTCAATCTAATAATTAAAAATGGGATTTTGCTGCATGTTGACCCATGCAGCTATGCACTCTTGAGAGGACCCAGTCTGCTCCTGGTCTTACCTGAAGCTAGAAGAAAGGATTTTGAATGCTTTCACCATAAAGGAATGATAAATGTTTGAGGAGACAGAGAGTGTAACTGATTTAAACATTATACAATGTATATCTCACATTGTATATATACATAAAACTCAATTAGACATCACATTATATACAATTTTTAGGTTTTATGTATGTTTTAATATCTAAATTTTTTAAAAAGTACTATCACACAAATGTAGTAATAAGAATAAAGAATATCTCTATAGCTGTTCAAATTATATGACTAGGTACTGAGAAAAATTCCTGGTGCTACACTGTTGAACTATCAATAATGGTACGGGAAAATACAGATGTATAAACTAGTGGGATGGGGATGTGGCTCAGTGGTAGAGTGTTTGCCTCACATGCATGAAGGCCTGGGTTCAATTCTCAGCACCACACACATAAAAATAGTATGTAGTGGCATACATGTGGTATCAAAGTTGCATGCTTCATGTGATTAAATGATACCTGGTCAAAAAGCTGTTTGCCAGTTGTATTGGGCTGAATGGCAAATTCCAGCTCAGCATCCATTGTAGTTACTCTTACATTGATCTATAATAAAAACAGAAGAGAAAATCATTAGGAAAGACAATATACTTAATTACTTATTTAGTAGGCATGAGAAAAATCTTTTATCTGATTTATAATATTTCCTTTATTAAAATGATATAATTAGACTTAAGATTTTCTGTGATTCAAATCAATTTGGGGGGAAAAAAAGAGCTTCTGAAGTCCTTATTTAAAAACATCTCCTTCAGTCTGACATAACTTTCCTATGTATATATATGCATATACCACAGTGAACCTCCATATCATGTTTATTTATGAGAATTAGAATAAGATATACTCCATGTTTGTATAAATATGTCAAAATTGACTCTACTGTCATGTATAACTAAAAAGAACAAATAAATAAAATAAAAAGTCACATAGCTCCTTTGCTTTAAACTAATGTGCTCTCCCAAGGTTAAGCAGTTCAGAGAGAGCAGGAGTCAAGGAAAAGGGGTCATCAAAACGCTACCAAGAAAAAATAAACACATCTCAATACTTAACATGCACTGGGACAATAAGCCATGAACTTTCTATATTCTCATTTAGCCCCTGCAACAATACTGGAAGATATTATTTCACATCTATGGAAACTCAAAAGGTTCCCATTACTTGCCCAAGCACACATGGAGATGAAAAAGCAAAGTAGGTATTTAAACTGAGGTATAATTCCTAATTCTTTGTTATTCACTATGCCACATTTCTTTCAACATAAAAATCACATACTTATTTTTGTTCATATGACAAACATTTTCTTGACTTTATAAAAGACATTTATTTTCTACAGCACTTTATGCAGGACTCCATTCTTTTTTTAATTAATTATTTTTATTTATATATGACAGCGGAATGCATTACAATTCTTATTACGGGACTCCAATTCTAAATACTATTTTTTGTATAAATACTGTTCTAATTGATCTCAAAACTTAACATTACTTACAACATTTTTACCCCAGAATATTATCTTCACCTGAAATTCCTCATGTGTTTCAAAACTCTCTTATAACTTTAATTCACATTATAGGAACTTTTGATCAGATTCCTCATACCCCTTTGCATGTCTTAATCACTTTAACACCATATGTGGTGTGGCTTTTACCTGAATGCCTTCTCTAAACAAATCATATAAATTCATCCTTCTTAAAATAATCTTATTTGTATTTTTCTTTAAAATATCTTATTAAAAATATTGATATAAAAATACATGTAAAACATATGTAAACAAAGAAAAATGAAGTCCATAAATTTAACATCCAACTTAACTAGAAATGACAACTTGTTACATATATCACTGTATTTCTTTGCCAATTTACTTTTCCTCATCCCTACCCCCAACACATACAGGTAAATAATAATCTGAATTTTTTTTTTTTGTCATTCTCTTTCTTTTTTTTTTCCTTTTTGGTTTTGGTACTGGGGATTAAGCCCAGGAGTATTCTACCACTGAGCTACACCCAAGCCTTTTTTATTTATTTTGAGAGAGGGTGGCACTAAATTGCCTAGGCTGGTTTTGTTCATATGACAAAATCTCAGCCTGCCAAGTCACTGGGATTACAGGCATGCACCACCACACCTGGCTATCATTCTCATCTTTAAAAACTAGTTATATCACTCACAGGTGTGTGTATGCATGTTTGTGTACACACATATATATATAATCAATTAAAAAGTTGATTTTTTTCAGCTATACTATAATTGCAAGCACTTGCTAACGTAAGTCTTCTTTCTTAGTATGGACAATGGATACATGGATATATTCACTTTAGAAAAGTTCAACCCAGCTATTCCCCTGCTGGGTCTATTCCCTAAAGACCTAAAAAGAGCATGCTACAGGGACACTGCTACATCGATGTTCATAGCAGCAAAATTCACAATAGCAAGACTGTGGAACCAACCTAGATGTCCTTCAATAGATGAATGGATAAAAAAAATGTGGCATTTATACACAATGGAGTATTACTCTGCATTAAAAAATGACAAAATCATAGAATTTGCAGGGAAATGGATGGCATTAGAGCAGATTATGCTAAGTGAAGCTAGCCAATCCCTAAAAAACAAATGCCAAATGTCTTCTTTGATATAAGGAGAGTAACTAAGAACAGAGTAGGGTCGAAGAGCATGAGAAGAAGATTAACATTAAACAGGGATGAGAGGTGGGAGGGAAAGGGAGAGAGAAGGGAAATTGCATGGAAATGGAAGGAGACCCTCAGAGTTATACAAAAGTACATACAAGAGGAAGTGAGGGGAAAGGGAAAAATAATACAAGGGGGACAAATGAATGTCAGTAGAGGGGGCAGAGAGAGAAGAGGGGAGGGGAGGGGAGGGGAGGGGGGATAGTAGAGGATAGGAAAGGCAGCAGAACACAACAGACACTAGTATGGCAATATGTAAATCAATGGATGTGTAACTGATGTGATTCTGCAATCTGTATATGGGGTAAAAATGGGAGCTCATAACCCACTTGAATCAAAGTGTGAAATATGATATATCAAGAACTATGTAATGTTTTGAACAGCCAACAATAAAAAATAAAAATAAAAATAAACATGTTAATTGTACAAATTACTGGGATTCACTATGATGTAGTCTTTTGATTTGCAGATTCTACTTCAATTAAAACATTTTAAATTGTACACTATACTTTGATTTTTCAATTATATTTCTAAGATTGACATTTCTGTGAGTAGTTACAAGTCATTTTCACAGCTATACCATCTTCTACAAGTGATTAAACAATTTATGTACCCATTTTTCTATCAATGGACATTGTTTCCATTGTTATGAAGTCTTATACACTCTCCTAGTACATATGCATCAGAATTCCTCTACAGGTATTTACACAGAAAGAGAACTCCCAGATGATAAAATATGCATACCTCTTATTTTAACCATGTAATGAGAAACAGTCTTACAATAGTGCCTAAGAATTCTTATTGATTGCATTTTCACTAACAGTGGGTATCAGCAGATTTCTTTAATGATAACCTAGTAGATATGAAATGATATATCAATATGGTCTTAAAATATGCATCCCTGATTCCTGATGAAGTTGAAAACCTGTTTGTATATGTGGCATACAGAATTCTAAAATGATCCCCATAATCCCTGTGCCCTAGTGTTTCACCCATGATTATATTGCACTACATGATAAAAAAGAATTTTGTAGATACTCTTAAGGTTCACAATCAGTTAACCTTAAGAGAGATTATCTGGCCAGGTGTGGGGCATATGCCTATAATCCCAGCTACTCAGGAGGCTGAGGCAGGAAGATCACAAATTCAAGCCAGTCTGGGCAACTTAGACTCTGTTTCAAAAATTTTTAATTAAAAGTGGGAGTGGATGTTGCTCAGTGGTAGAGCCCTTGCCTAGCCTATATGAGGTCCTGTGTTCAATCACCAGCACTGCAAAAAAATGATAAAAGGTTATCTAGGTAAGCCTAAGCTAATTACTAACCACTCAGTCTCACCTTTGAAATGTCTGTTCACATCTATGTCTTATTTTCCTATTGTGTTTTGTTTCTTTCTCATGCTTATAATAGGAGGTCTTTGTATATTAATCTTTTCTCAGTTATTTGTGTCAAAAAAAATCTCCCTGTTTGTCATTCTGTATTCTTTATGGTGTCCTTCTTTTTAATAAACACATATTCTTGATTTTAATGTTTTAAATACAGATGTCACTTTTTTGCCATAGTTAACAAATACTTCCTTGTCTAGAGTCACAAAGATATTCTTATATTTCTTAATCTACATCTTAAAAGGTTTTGGATTATATCTCTTTGATTTTTGCTTATGATGAAAGAGATCTGATTTCATTTTTAATCCCCATTGGATAATATTATGAAAATTTTTTAAATCTCAACATAATTTATTTACTCCCCAAAGACTGTCACAAACCAAGCATCTGTACAGGCATGGATCTTTGTTATACCAGCCAATTTAACTATTCTGCTAATATCATGCTGTTTTAATTACTATATCTTCAAATAACTCTTGATATTTGGTAGGGCAAGTCTCCCCTCATTATTCTACAGAACTGTTCTGGCTATTCTTGGTTCTGTATTTTAGTTCCTGCCTCCAAATAAAATAGTAAATTTTCAAAACCCCACATTTATAATTTAGAACTACACTATATTCATCAGTCTTTCAGGGTAAGAACTGACATCTTTCCAATATTAATTCTACCCACAACTATGGTTCTTGTGTGCAATGATTTAGGACATCTTCAATGTTTTTTAGTCTCTTTTTTGAAAGAGACTACTTATAGTTTCTCCATAAAAATAATACTACTTTTATCCCCTGGACATTAAAGTTTTGTAGCAATTGTAAATATGGGTCCACAGTCCTTAATACATAATTTTGACATCCTAAAAGCATTCAAGAATGAAGTTTTAGTTTATTTTGGGCAAAAATTTGATATGAAGTAATGTGAACTATCACTCACGGTGAATTAATTTATTCCATTTCATATGGACATTCACACATTTCTCTATAGAAATGTTAATAATGCCATAGAACTAATAAAAGTTTCAGGACATAATGTAATATACATTATAATACATAGTCACCCTTCTAAAATACTAAAAATTCCAAACTCTGAAACTCAGTTAGTTTCAAGGGTTTCAAAGGCAGGACTGTGAAATCTGATGAAATATCTCTTCAAATTGTTCTGTTTGGAATTTTAAGGAATAAAACTGATTTTATATTGATCCTATTATTTCACTTGTCAATTGTTATAATGAGTCTATAAATCTTTGTGTTTCTATAAAGCAAGAATTAGCAAGCTTTTCTATAAAGAGCTAAATGGTAAATATTTTCACTTTGAAGATCATACAGTCTCTGCTGCAGTCACTTAACTCTGAACCTAGGGCAACAAAGCAACCATAGGTAATAAACAACTGAGCATACTGTGTTCCAATAAAACTTTATTATGGATCCTGAAATCTAATTTCATATAGTTTTCAGGTGTTACAAAACAACCTTTTTTTCAACCACTGAAAATGTAAAAAAAAAAAAAAATCATTCTTAGCTCATAGGCAGTAAAGAACAGGTTAGTAAATTTCAGTAATCCTAAAATTCTCAAATAGCATTTCTTCCTTTCCTATATATACTTAAGCTTTTCTTTTTTTGTACAACAGGTTTTGCTATTCAAAGTTGAATAGTAGCCATGATAACATGTATCTCCTATCTTGTTCTTGATTTTAAGACTGTTTCTACCATTAACACATTTAGAACAGTTTTTACTTTACATTCCTTCTCCATTTTTATTTTTTAAACCATAAGTGGTTGTTCAGTTGTAGCAACTGATCTTTCTGAATGTATCACGATTTTTCTCCTTTAAACTAATGGCATGACACAGAGTTACTAAGCTATAATGTCTCTTGGAACTAGGTATGCCCTTGTGACTAAGCTGTCACCGATAGAACGTGAGCACTACAGACGCAGATTATTCCTCTGCATAAGCATAAAACAGTGGGGGCATGCTTCCCCGTGCTTTATTGTCCCTTCCTGCTAGCTGGAGGCAGCTTCAACTATAAATACTATAATAATACCTAAAAGGCTAAGGCTCAAACTTCTTGGGCTCAGGATCCTTTTACACTCTTGAAAACTACAAAGCACTCAAAAAGTTTTTGTTATATGGGTTATATATATATCAGTATTTACTACATTAAAGCAGATAATTTTTTAAATATTAACTCATTTAAGTATAATGCTAATAAACTTAATACATGTTAACATAATAATATTGTAACATATAAAAATGGCTACCTATAAATATACTATTTAATTTTAAAAAGTGTGACAATACTATTTAATTTTAAAAAGTGCAATATGACAGCTTTTAAATCCTTTTCATTTGATCTTAACATCAATTCTTGGAGGTAATCAAAGCACTTGTTATCGAATCAATTTTACAAATGAATCAAGTTTGCAGAAGTTATGCTTCACCAAGGTTACATATCTACTAAGTATAAAGCTGGGCCAACAAGATTGGGGTAAAACACAAAAACGAAATTAACTTTCTCCAACTTTTGTGTTTGGGGGAAAAAATACACATATTTTTTATTAGGGTGAGAGGGGAGAAAAAAGTCAGTTATATTTTGACCTAAAAAGTTTGAGGGAAAAAAAATCACTGATTATTAATATATTAAAATATTATCTTCCAGATATTTTAATGTACCAACCACAGATCTGATATCCAGTTGAATAATAAATCTGACTCTTCACTCTAAGGAACAATAAATAAATGTTCTCTGCATAATTACATTAGCAAAGAGTTTTCCAAAGTTCTTATAAGCATTCACATTCCTACTGAAATACATTAAGGGTAACAGATGTTCCACATCCTTATCTACACTTAATATTATCAGTATATAATTACTCCCCTTCTAGTGCATAAAATGTTATTTCACTGAACCTTTAATTTGTATTTTGCTGATAACTAAAAACATTTAGAATATTTTTGTGTTTATTGGCCAATTAACATAGCTTCTTTATATAAAAAGTTTTTGCCCAATTTTTTTTTTTAAACTGAGTAATTGAACTATAGAACTTCACATTGCAATTATTTTCTCTCATTCTGTCTTGCTGTTTTCTTATTGCTCTTTTTTTCACAGAGCAAATGGTTTTTGGTGTTTTTTTGTTTGTTTGTTTATTTGTTTGTTTTGGGGGGGTGGGGTACCAGGGAATGTCCAGTCATATTTTGTATTCTATTTAGAGACAGGGTCTTACTGAGTTGCTGAGGCTGGCTTTGAACTTACAATGATCCTGACTCAGTTTCCCGAGTCACTGGGACTACAAATGGCTTTAACTTTGATAAAGTCCAATTTTTTCCTTAATGGTTCAAACTTTCTGTGTATTATCCAAGAAACTTTCCCCTATCCAAGATGACAAATTTTTTTTCCTTTATTTCCTTCTGAAAGTTTTATACTTTAGGTTTTTGCATTTAGGTCTACAATCCATCTAGAGTAAATTTTTGAGTAAATTATGAGACAAGAGTTTAATGTTCATGTTTTTTCTGTACAGATAACTCTTTGTTCCATCAACATTTGTTGAAAATAATTAAAATTCCCCATTGAACTGTGTAACACTTTTGTCAAAAATCTTATGATTATAATATGTAATGTGTGTGGGTGTGTTTCTATTTCTCTGATTCTATTATCTACCCTTTCACAATTACCACAATGTCTTGTTTTTGTAGCTTGAGAGTAAGTCTTGAAATGAAGGTATGTAAGTTTTCCAGTTTTGTTCCTTCTTAAAACTGCTTTAGCAATTTGATCAATTTATCCAAAGAAGTTTTCAGGGTTTCAACTGAATAGAATTCAATTAAAACTACCAATATATCTGGGAAGAACTGACACCTTAATAGTTATTTATAAACAAAACTGTAAAAATTATCTACTTCTCCATATATTCAGATCTTTAATTTCTTATAAAGTTTTCAGTATAGAGACTTTGTTTTGCCTCTGTATGTTTATTCCTAAGTACTTTATGTTTTTTATGCTCTCACTACATTTTTCAAACTCTGCTGTCATTATATATATTTTTAAAAACATTGATTGTATTTTTATTATTATTTTTATTTTTACTATAACTTTTTGTCTAACAATCTTGCTAAATTAAATTACTAGGTCTATCAGTTGTTTTATAGATTCATAAGAACTGTTTATAAACAATCATGTCATGTGCAAATAGAAAATTTTATTTCTTAATTCTGATCTTTACACCTTTTACTTTCTTTTATTCTTTTCTACCAACAACACACTGTTACCTGCTGAGTCTTTAAAGCAATATTCGTGAAAATCTAGTAACTATAACCAACAATTTCTCTAAAAAGCTAACTGACCAAAAGGAACACTATTAAAAAAAAATATATATATATATATACACCCCATTTTTTTTTTTAGGTGAAAAGAACAGTTACTCTAGGACAAAAAGAATACATACACCTTAATCAAGAACCATATAATTCTAAAATCAAGTAAAATGATCAAAGATATACAACTAAGAATACCTAATGTCAGTGTAAGTATCACCAGCATCAAAAACTAGTGTGTGAGAACACTTGAGAAAAAAAACATGCAGCCAGGCACAATGGCACATGCCTTTGTGTGACTCAGGAAGCTAAAGAAATTTTATCAAACAAGTTCCAACCCAGCCTCAGCAATTTAGAAAAATCCTGTCTCAAAAAATAAAAAGGACTGGGAATATTGCTCATTACTAGTAAAACACCACTGGGTTCAATCCCCAGTATTAAAAAAAAAAAAAAAATTTAATAAGCATGGGTCCTCCCAACCTCTCATTATTTTCTCTTAACAATAAGTTACCATTTTTTTGCACTATGTACCAGATTCTTTCAATCCTCATCATACTCCTTAAGTTAACTAATTATGTATACCCCATTTTATATAAAAAGGAAATTAAAACATGGATAGGTTGAATTAAATTAACAAATTACCCAGATTAAATGACAGTAGGTCAGTTTTACCCCAAGACCCATGAATTTTAACCTTAACTGCAATGTTATCCATACCAGTTCTTCACTGCCCATAATACTATGCTATAGCCACACTAATCTAAAACAAGTAATAGTAACAGAGCATTTTCTTCTAACAACTTTCCCTTGATATTTTGCCTAGTTCAAAAACAAAAAACAAACAAAAAAACTTACTGCTAATAATATCTTTTTAAGTAAACTGTATCAAAAGTAATAAAATTCACTTACTGGTTTCGGCATTTTCTTTCTCTTTTTGTTACTTTCTTTAAAAATTCTTCACATCTATAAATTCTATTGTCACCTTCTGTTAAAGAAAAAGAATAATTTATTATCTTTTTCACATAAGGTTTTTAACTAACACTTATATAAAAGATAAACATTAGAGCACCAGAAGTAACAGTTCTTATTTATTCTAATTTTTAATGTCTTCTACTAATATTTCACGTTTCCTAGAAAGATTAAAACCTGATACTTGCTAATCTATTAAAAGTTTTAATTTACAGACAACACAGCAAAGAAACATGTTTGCTAAGGGCCTTTCTCAGTGTTGGGTTCATTCCTACATAAGACTAATAGAGAAAAGGACAGTAAAAGTGAGGATGAGTAGATTCAGATTCTAAAGAATTAAGTCAAGAATTTTTTCAACCATTTTTTGTACTTTCAAAGACAAAAGGAAATTCTAATGTAGCTACAAATTTTTAAATTATTCTTGAAAGTTTTAAAATCTCAATAAAGTATATATGTAGCCTATCCACCTATACATATTAAACAGTCATAGCTTTGCACACTAAAAATTTTCATGCTGCTCACCAGCAAGCTAGCAGCATTCAATGAAATTTAGAATTGCCCTAAAGACCAATGGTAAATTGTATCTTCTCCCCCTAAGGCAACAAATCTTATCAAGAATTATGACATTATCTTAGGGTAAATGTTCTAAGAAATATCTAACAAAACCAAGTTTCCCCTCCTTGCAAATCTGTTAAAATATCTAATTCTTAATCATTATTAATTGTCCAAAAATTATCATTTTAATTTGAAAACTACAGAAGTGTTCTATTAGATACATTATTTGAGAATAAGCTTATCTAGGTAATGTCTCTGGCAAGAAACTTTGTTACACAAGAACCAACTAAATATACACTGAAATAAGGTCATTTTCCTAAATTTTATTCAAGCACAGGCCAATAAACCTCTTTTTAGGGATAACTTTCTCCTTTAGTGTGGGGGGTGCATGTGCACGTGTGCACGCTCAGAGTGTATATTTTATCAGTCACTGGGCAATGAAATTCAGTTGGAAGCACACAACCCTCACCTCTTAACTTGTTCTTAACCTATCCCCTATCTATACTCCCCTACTTTTATAACCTAAATGTATTTCAGTCAAATTTTTCTACAATCTGTTTTCACAAGTCCTTCACCTTACCATCTCAGGTCTTGATTAAAACAGCCTCCAAAAGGACTTGCTTTTCATAATCTATTAGCTACTAGTCCCCAAATCTCTATCTCCAGGGTTTCTTGGCGAATTGGCTTATCTCAAAAAAGACTTGGCCAAACACTTCAATCCCTATCCCAGAGCCAAATCTACTTTTCTTCAAAGCTGAATGAATTATGTATTTCTAGAAATCTATTCATAGTATTCTCTTAGGATTTTTTTTATCTACTAGATCTAAATTTGTGACCTTCTTTTCATTCCTGTTAATTTTGCCTGCTTTTGTTTGATTAGTCTTGCCAGAAGTCAAGAGTTGGTCTAAAAGTCACTTTTTTAGTTTCGTTGACTTTTTATTAATTTTGTTAATTTCTATTAATTTTTCTCATTTTCTTCTCATTAGTTACTTTGGCTTTACTCAGAGGGCTGACTTTCTATTTCCTGCAACTGCAAGTTTACCTAAGTAATTTCCAATATTGTTTCTTTACTAGTTCATGCATTTAAGTCATCAACTAAGTATGTCCAACTATAGAAAAACTCCAAATATAAAGTGATTTCCCTAATTTACCAGTGAGAAATTCAAAAATAATTTTATGATTTGAATATTAAATTAAATGTGCATCTATAACATTTATTAGTATACTTATACATGATCTATGAAATACTGATTCAGAAATATTGTTTGCTTCATCTCAAACTTCACAGAATAATTTTATTCTAATTTTATACATACATGAGATAAAAGTATCTGTATAAAACTTGGACTACTTTTTGAATCAATAATTTTCTAGATTACATTAGTATTTTTGAATCAGTGTATCATATGATCAAACTTTTATTTCAAGTCACAATTACACATAGGACACTCTCTCATTTGTACTATAGGAAAAATTTTTAATATATTTACATTGTAACTTTTTTTTCTTGTTTTCATTTATTATTACTACTATTTTTTTAACTGATGATTCCTCTGCCTTTTCCCATGTTTAAATCACTCACTAGATGAGCCCTGTGAGCTTTCCAAACTCAAGTGAACTAATGGAGTTTCAAATCAATGTGCCTTTCTTGAAGTTTCATGCTCAAAAAGAAGACTGCATCTTATAATGAAAGACTTCTTAAGAACACAAATATAATTCTTTTCTGGGGAATATTTGAGGAAAAAAACCTTGCCTCTTACTTGAAACTATAGCATTTTTTCTAAGTAGCACTTCAGTGGCTTAGGTTTTTATACAGTTCTAAGTGTCCTGCCTAAATGTTTCCAATTTCAACCATGATTTCTAATCACTACTGAGAAATACTTTGTTTTTTAGTTTTCAAATAGAAGGGTTAGAGGACTTTAGGTAGAATGCTGATTTTTTTCATTACTTTTAAGTTTATTCTTCTATAGTCAAATAATTCATTAGGATATTTTATGTTTAGTACATGGTCAGTGTCTTTCTTTCTAGACTGTTCCAAGTATAAATACACTGTATTGTATGCATTTGATAAATTAAGTCAAGCTAAACCAAGTTTTTAAAATTTTCTTAATAGTCTATTACTACTCATTTTAGTCTATTTAATCAAATTTGGTAGAAACATATCAAGTTTTCTCAACTAATGAATATGGATCTTAATTTCTTCTTCTAAAATACCAGCTTTTAATTTATGTTTTAGGCTATTTTAAGTGAATCTAGGTTTAGAATTGTTCTATCTTCCCAGTGAATAGTTCCTTTTCTTCTTTTCTTACAAATATAATTCTAAATTGACCATTATTCCCTCAGCATTTGGAAGACACTAGTTTATTCTGGCATCTGTTACCACTGATGAGGAGTCTGAGGTCAATCTAACTCATTCCTTTGCTTTAATCTATCCTAGAACAATTTTTACATTTATTTCTTTTCTCAATATTCCCTTACCACCTCATTCCCTACCACCACACCCTGGGCAAGTTAGCAGGTATTCAAATGAGCTTCACATCTATCATACTACTTTCTAAACCATATGGTTGGTGTCTCTCTCCAATGCAGTATTTCATTAGTAAGGAAGAATAAAGAAAGCAAACATTTAATTATATGCCAGATTCTATAAACTAAGAGTAGTCAGATTATAGAAAAGGTATTTCTAAAACAGCTAGGCAAGTAAATATTGAAATAATTTATCCAGGTTTTTGATGTTAGAGTTACTTCATGTTATACTCTACAGGAAAGGATCTTCCAAACAAAATACTCCACACTAAAGTTTTAATCTTAATAAGAGAGCTCATCTAACATAAAAGTATACACGACAGGCCAACAAACACAGAACCAGGGTCTTACACAAGCTAATTAAGCGTACAAAATCTCCTACAAGTGTACTTGGTCTATACAAACTGTGAAATGGGGGGAGGGCTAATAAAAGCCATCACAAATATGGAATCTTCTAAATGAAGCTTCTAAAAATGTCTACTTTCAGATTAGTGTTGGGGGGGTGGGGCGGTAACCAGGGATTGAACCCAGGGATGCTTAACAACTGACCCACATCTCTAGTTCTTTTTCTCTTTTGAGACAGGGTCTTACTAAATTGCATAGGCCCTCATTAAGTTGCTGAGGCTGGCTTTGAATTTGCAATCCCCCTGCCTCAGCCTCCCTGGAATTACAGGCATGCACGACCATACCCAGCTTCTGTGTTCATTCTTAAAAATCATGTTAGGCTTTCCTGTTTTATTTCACTTCCCCATTTTATTTCAGTCTATCATAAATTATCTGAAGAAAAATGAGGCTCTCTTTGCCAATTGAACATAAAGTGACTAAGAACAATGCCTTATATTTATAAACCATAGTTTCATGTTCTTATACTTTGATTTTTTTACTAACAAAAAAACAGGAAGAAAGTAAGAGATTACATTATGGCTACCTTATAATTGAAGAAACAAAACAAGGTCCACTTTTTTGTTGTTTTGTTTTTATGTAATGGGGATTGAAGCCAGGGGTGCTTAACCACAGGACAACATCCCCAGCCCTTTTTTATATTTTAAGACAGAGTCTCACCAAGTGGCTTAGGGCCTTGCTAAATTGCTAAGGCTGGTTTTGAACTTGCCATCCTCCTGCCTCAGCTTTCTGGGCCGCTGAGGTTACAGGTATATGCTACTATGCCCAGCACAAGGTCCATTCTTAAAGTAACTTGTCCAAAAGTCACATGGACAATAAATGGACAAGCTACAATCCTTCGGACGCCTAAAATCCACAACTCTATCATATACCAGCCTGTCTTCCTCTGATATTAAAAAAAGTGAAAAATAATCTCATTTATGGAAATATAACCAAGGAAAATACTTTAAAATGTGTATAATGGTTTAACTACAAAGATTCTAATTATAGTGCAAGTTTAAAAAGTAGATGTCATATGGGAATTTAGTTAAGTGAATCACGGTATACACTACACTAGATCAAAATGCAGCTAATCAAGGTGTTACAGAAAATATTCAATGGCTAGGGAAAATACGCACAAACCTCTGAGGAAAAAGGCAGGTTATGCTGGGCATGGGGGCACATGCCTATAATCTCAGCAGCTCAGGAGGCTGAGGCAGGATTATCACAAGTTCAAAGGCAGCCTCAGCAATTTCACAAGGCCCTAAGCAACTCAAAAAAGGGTGGGGGATGTGGTTCAGTGGTTACATACACCTGCAATCCCAGCTACTCAAGAGGCTAAGGCAGGAGGATCACAAGTTCAAGGTCAGTCTGAGGAATTTAGTAAGATCCTGTCTCAAAATAAGGGATAGGGATGTAGTTCAATGCTAGACCATTTGCCTAGCACATGTGAGGGCCTAGGTTCAATCCCCAGTACTGCAAATAAATAAATAAAAACATCCATAGCATATTGTCACTTTTTTAAAAAAGTATGAGAAAGAGACCAAAATGAAC